GCGTGTGTGTATACGCGTGTGTGTATACGCGTGTGTGTATACGCGTGTGTGTATAGGCGTGTGTGTATAGGCGTGTGTGTATACGTGTGTATATATGTGTGTATATGTATATATGTATGTATATGTGTGTGTATATATGATATATGTGTGTATCGTTATTTATGTTGCAAAATAAACTTTGTGAAATAAACTTTGATTTATTCCAAATTGAGAATTGTAAGTGCAGAAGAGTTTAGTGGTGCAGCAGATAATCAACCAGTATCTCTCTCCTCCAGGTGACTTTTACCATTGAGAGCATCAGGAAATTCATCAACAGTCAATTTGTCTTGAAGAGCTGCAAAGACAAACACACCAAGCTCAAACTAAGAGGTGGGTTGTAATAAACGGCACCACAATACTTTTTGTACACAGCAAATCAACCAAATCAACATTTTATTCCATGGTTAAAGTGCTTTCTGAGAAAAGAGTGCTTGAAAAAGAGCGACACTGTGGTGTGAAAATGAGCAGTGCCTGGTGGGGGATTCATTCAAACACTGTGGGGTCAGACCAGAGATTAAGATGAGCGACCTCACGGTCTTTGGAGTGACTGTGTGGCCAATCGTCCCCCAGGTTCCTCGCTGTCAGTCTACATCACCACAATATTGTCATGTCACCACTTCCCCTTAAGACACGTTACAAAGCAAACCTGGAAGACCAACAATGACCTGGTGCAGAAGTATGACGGAAAAGATAGCCAAGTCGAACTGAACTTGGGAGAGGCACATTGTGTGATAGAGACAACTTAAGAAGAAGAAGAAGTAAGTAAGAGCAGAGAAACATGGAGACTGAGTAGGCATGTGGGTACCCAAGAGGTGCGTAGGTAACCACTGAAACAATATCTGTGCTGCATTCTCAACTTTAGTTTACCTGTGTTCCATTTATGTGTAGGTCAGATGTTGTGGATGGAGTCTCTTGGCTGTATGTTGTACCTGTGTTCTCCAAAGATACGAAGCCTTCAGGAACTTCAAGATGTTGGCCTCCACCTGGCTGACCTGGCCCAGCATGATGTCACCAGAGACCTGGTTCTCCTCAACCATCAACGTCTTGCTGAGCTGGAGCTCACCAACCAGCTGGAGAGGAAAAAGGTAGGAGAGCAGCTTTTAGTTCCTGCAGTCTTTAGTCACGGCAGCCCAATTTACAAACACGATAAGAAGCTGGCCTTTGTTTAGCATGTGAGTATTTCACAGGGATTTGCCTCTTGAGGAAAACATGTTCATTAAAATGAGTAGACGAAGTGTCTGTGCTGTAAAACAAGTCAACAGAACAGAGTAATGTATCCACTTACAGATTGCATGCTAATACCAAGTGGAGACCTTTCGATTCATGATCAAACATTGGTTGTTGTCATTATTCACACATCTACAGAGGCCAACAAAATAGTATTTAATCTGGTTTCAAAGTGTGTGCAGCATAGTAATCGTAGTAAACTATAAAAGTTCAATAAGGATTGTGGGTTGGTCGATCGGCCAGCCAGTCTATCTACCACTTGGATCCACAGAAAGATATTAACGACAGTTGGATGGATTGCCATGAGCTTTTATACATTTATTGATATGCTGACTTTAATGACCATTAGAATTTTAGTTTAAAACCACCATTACTGTGGCTAAGTGGAGAGCAGGGTCGTCCTTCAATCAGAGGGTCGGCGGTTCGATCTCCGGCTCCGCTATTCTCATGCCGATGTGTCCTTGAGCAAGGCACCTTTGTTGTGGAGGTAGGCATCCCTGCCTTCAGTGTGTCAATGGGTGAATGATGACAAGCAGTGTGAAAGCACTTTGAGTGGTCGGAAAGACTAGAAAAGCGCTGTACAAGTACAGTCCATTTACCATGAGGTTGAAATCTTAGGGTTTTAGTGACATGTCTCAACTATTAAAGTTGCCATTGGATTGCTATATTTGATTACCATCAGATTTGGTGCAGACATGTATGTTTCCCAGAAGATAAATTAAAGCAACTTTGGTCGTCCCCATAATCAGCTAAGAATTGAGTTTATTATCAGTTACCTGATACAATACATCACAGTATTGTGTTTCTCTGGTCCAGTTGGGAAACCCTTTTCCTCCACTGCTTTTTATATGGATCTGTTTTATGGGGGGAAAAAACATTCTGCATGTGATTATTGTGACAATATACAAATCTGTGATTGGTACAGCAGTTGTGCTTTTTCACAGGAAGGGAAATATGAATTATTGCATGTGTCGGTCTGTCTGTCTGTAGGAGGAACTGAGAATCCTGTCACAGCACCTAGAGGCTGAAAAAGAGAAGACGGAGACTCTGCTGTATGCCATGCTGCCCTGTCACATAGCCAATCAGCTGAAAGATGGGAAGAGCGTAGCGGCAGGTCAGTCATTCCATCAAGCTAGCTGTTAGCTGTCTACCTCTACATGTCTGCTTGTTGCTCTGTCAAAGTGTCTTGTCTCTTTCAGGGGAGTTTGAGGTGTGCACTATTTTGTTCAGTGATGTGGTAACCTTCACAAGCATCTGCGCTGCCTGTGAGCCCATCCATATCGTTCACATGCTCAATTCCATGTACTCAAAGTTTGACCGACTCACCAGCGTACATGACATCTACAAGGTATTATCTCTCTGTGACATTTGTTATCTCCGCAGTAGGCTGAGGATGGATATTGTGGTGAAATATCTCTTGTTCTTCAAACAATGAAGCTATTGTATTTCTGTTGAACTGGATGAGGATAGTCTTTCCGTCATTTCCCAACTTTGCACACTCAGACCATTGTGTGTGCATTCTTTATAAGTTTGTCCTTAAGCAGTTGTCCCCCATCCAGCAAAGTAGACATACTGTATTTAGCTACAAATGTGCAATCTGTAGGAGGTGATGGCAACGTTTCTGACACAATTAACACAGTTTACAGTTTGATTTCCTGTTGCTTCAGCACAAAAATCTTTCTTTTAATTCAAACGTAACAATGATTTACCTATGAAGTTATTAATTCCATCTGAATCCTGTATCATATCTGCTTTTTGAATCGGAATCCTTTATAAGTCCTTACTGAATCTAATCAGGTTCAGTTTTGAATATGTTTTACTAATTAAAAGTCAAAGCAGATCTGCACTTTGTTGGCTGAAAAAGCAGAAATATTATGGTTTGCTCTGGTAGATGTAGTCCTGCTCACAACCTGTAGTATCAATATAAAAATGAAGTGAGCATACCTTAAGAATAAGCTATGATTGGCACTGTCTGAAAAACTGTTTCCATTCATCGCTCTTTGCTAATGAAAAGTGTAGCTGAAGTCTTTTAAGTTTCCTTAAAGAAACAGTTTGTGTGGTGAGTTACAGATTGCAACCAACTAAATACCCTTCTCCTCACCCCTACCTGCCAAAAGGTTGAGACTATTGGTGATGCATACATGGTGGTGGGTGGCGTTCCAGTCCCGACAGAAAGCCATGCTCACAGAGTGGCAAACTTTGCTTTAGGTATGAGGATAGCTGCCAGAGAGGTCCCCAACCCTGTAACAGGCAAACCCATACAGGTAAGAATTATGAATCACATCTTTTTCCATGTATTTCATGACGAAGAGAGGTGTCTTATTGTCGGTGCCTAAGCCTCTGTAGAGTTATACAATACGTTGTTGTTTTACCTTTCCACAAATGTGCTGCGTTTCACCCGGAACCAGTGTGACTGCAAGTTACTCAGGAAGTGTAATAAGTTACTTTTTACTTATTTTACTTATTAAAAAAATTATTATATGACTTTACTTGTTACTTGGTATCAAAAATAGTTGTGAATGAATGTGGTTGGTTCTGACAGTGGTGGGCCGTCAGGGCCTGCAAGGCCTTCTCTGCTGGCCTAAACAGAATCACTTATCATTTAATCATTTTTCTTAAATACACTACATGTATTATAATTTATAAAAATATTTTCCCCATTATCTTATGTTCTCATTGCACAGCTACTGTCTTCCTCAGTTGCTCTGCTTCCAGTGCAGCTTGTTTTAAGTAGAGCTTTTATCCAATCAGATTTCACCTATGTGTGTCTAGGTAAGAAGAGAGGCCCGAGGCCTGCAGACTCACAAGTGAATCCCTTTGCAGTTTAAGTGAATGGGGACGATATTGTTGATTGTCATAGTCTTCAACCAATCAGATCTTTAGTTTGACATGTTGGACGTATTCTTTGACGTATCGGAGCCTGCTAGCTGGCCTACAAGTACGTCAGCATTAACGTGCGGCGTGAGTGGTCAGAGTTCAAGTTGAAAGATATGTAAGAAGTTATGACATTGACAAGACATTTTTAGCGTTTTGCTCGCTGTAGCTGTGTTTTTTTTTTAACACTCAATGGCCGAAGGAGAAGAAACGGATTCGAGAGTTACAATGCCTTTCTGGAGAAGGACATTTCCAACGGCCCTTTAAAGCTATTCAACAAATGATTTATTCGTGATCTTCTACCACAGGATGTCACACTTGCTGACATGGTGTGTTTGTATGTTCCAGATCCGTGTGGGTCTCCATACTGGTCCAGTGTTAGCTGGGGTGGTGGGGGAGAAGATGCCTCGCTACTGCCTGTTTGGAGACTCTGTTAACACTGCCCCCAGGATGGAGAGTCATGGAGTCCCCGACCACATTCACCTCAGCACTTCCACATATAGGTGTGTGTGTGTGTGTGTGTGTGTGTGTGTCTCACACCCAGAGCCAGCTGTAACAGAGTCGGGGACTTTTATCCTCGTTTACTGATTCCCATATTCAGTTAAAGATTAGTAATCACATTCAAACCACTGCTCTTTCCCCAGAAACAATCCGTAAACTTCTGTGTGGAACTGATTGAGATGTAACGACACATCTACATTATTAACTGTAGGTGGAGATGTTCATATACATAACCACCAACACCAATACTTCATGGCTCTGTCACAGTTCTGGAAGCTTTTCAAAAGCAGAACATCTTCAAGCTGTCTGTTCTCCAGCAGAATTCATTCTGTTTTTCTGTTTATTCAATTTACTTTGTTCCCGAAATTGTTTAGAGTTATTGTGTAGAAAGATTTGGGTGTTTACTTCATATTGAAAATACATTTCCAGCTTCTTAATGTGTTACTTTGTCGCTGTCCTTGACTCACTGTTCTACATACATGACTTCAGAAACTTCTTATCCTGAACAGTGAGGAATGCAGCATTGCTCTCCCTCCCTCTGTCTATCTCAAAAGGAATTTCTTTCTTCTTTCAACTGGAAATTGAAATCCTGGGACTTGGATTCATATTTGATGGTTCTGCAGGTCATGATTATCCTCCAGTGTCAACATTTAGTTTCAATGCAGAAAGAAGTGTTTCTTTTATGTCCTTGAGATCAGGCTGCTGGATGAGAAAGCTTTATTAATCCCCAGTGGGGAAACTCATTTGCCGCCAAATCAACTCATACAGACAACAAATAACAGACATAGCATACATTTATGAATACACATGTATGTGGTTTTCTTCCTCAGTGTCCTGACATGACTGCATACCTTCACCTCAGCTAGATGTTTAGAGTTGCTAAACAACCACTAGCCTGGAAACAGACAGTGTCCAGTAGTGACAGTGAGCGCACAGAGCAGCTTCTATGAAGCTATGGAGGTTTAAGATGGATACAAACTGTGTGCAGAGAAAGTACAGCTGAGGCTTCTAAGAACAGTTGCAATATGTGGCAACTGTAATTGTTCTCCCCAGAACTTAACTTATTTCACTTCTGTGTCCCTTTGTGTCCCCTCAACCCTCCCCCACCCCTCTTCAGTGCATTGAAAGATGCTGGGTTCAACATACAAGAGCGTGGGCAGATTGAGGTGAAGGGCAAAGGACAGATGACTACTTACTTCCTGATGGGGAACCTGCTGGTATCAGAAGATAGCATCATGGGAAGAGATGATGGAGGGACCTGTCTTTACCGGGAGGATTATGGCCAGAGCGAAAAAGGTAAGAAAAACTAGAACAGATATAGATACAGATTTATAGATGCATTATTTCACACCATAGCGGAGCCTGTGTGAGATAGAATCAACATGATGGATGTATAGCAGGCAGGTTTAGGAAAAACCTAACAATAGTGTTCTCCTTCCAATCCCTATCCTTCTCACCCCATGTGGGTTTTTCTCTCTTTATACTACGTGATCACACTCCCAGAGCATTTTCTCTGAGCGTCTAATAATGACGATGATGATGAAGAGTGCCTTATGGCTTGCGGTATAAGACACCAAGAGGCGTGACAAAGTTGAGTATGTGACGTCCTGAGACTGAGAAGGGGCGGAGTAGAGAAGCAGCTGGATGGTGTTCTGTGGGAGGGGTTTGCTCAGCTAGCTTTAGATTACTTGTAAGGCTTAAAGATTCACAATGTTTCGTATAAATGTGGCAGTCAGCGCTTAACATTACGGTCATAGACACAAATGAGGAAGAACAGTGGAGAAGAGGAACGATAGGCCCCACAGAAAAAGTCTCACCCCGTCATCTCGGAGCAGAACGACAGAACAAGTCAAATAATAATCTTTCCACGTACAAAGCAGAGAGATGTTCTGTTCTTTGAATCCATTTAGAACAGACCGCTCAGTCCTCTTGAAATCGGTGGAGTGGAAATTGAAATAAATGCCACTTGAATGTGAAAGTCTGAACATGGGCAGGGATGGTAGGAGGGCTCAGACACCCCCAGTCTCAGTGGAATAGTAGCCTACTAGAAGCCAGTGGAGATGTGCAAGAAGACCGTATACAGTAATGATAATTACAGGAGATAGTTGGTATGGCTGTATTAGTAAAATAATGCATTCACTGTGTGTGCAGTGTACATATAGAATGTGTGATTCCTTTGTTCACACAGACACAATTCTTGCTCATATGGTTCCTGCCTGTGATGAAGCCTATGAAGCTCTTTCTTTTTGTGCCAAAAGAAGATTTGAAGCTGCGGAGCGTCAAACTCAGCAGCACGGTGACATCTGGTGGTTTGAAAAACGTATGGCAGCTCTTCAAGACCTGAGCCAAAGCACTACAACACCTCACTGATTCCACCCCTGACAAATGGAGAGAGAAGCTTCAGAGCTTGGGTTTCATCCATGACTCACTGGTTATTACTGCACATTGCATGGCAGTAATGAAATGCAATAGATACTTTCATTTGTACATGATTTCTGTATGTACTTTGAAGAGAAGTATGTGACAGACTTTCAAGTGGGGATATAAAGGTTTATCAAATGTTTCTTTCATTTAGAGTCTGACAGAGAGCCTGATGGGAGAACTGAGAATGTACTAAGAGACACAAGCTCTGATGGAGTCATTGCCCCGGACCCCAGCCAAATAGAACCAATGGCTCCCTTTGCCTGGGACATCACCTCACCATTTGAGACCAACGACAACAGCTACAACACATCTGCAAGTTATTTCAACAGCAGACTCTGTGTCTTAATCTGAGAGCCTACTGAGCCTCTTTAAAGTCAACACACAGAAAGAAATGCAACGTCATCGCAGCTCCAATAGATCAACAAGGAGAGAGAACAGTGAGGAGACTCAGGTTCTATTACATTACATTAGTACCAGGGCAACTCGACTGCAACCACGCTGACACTGTTAACAAATAACAGTGACAGTTTACAAAGGTGTGGATACACTGTTCAGGGCATTATTCAAAATGACCTTGCATATACACTACTGAACCTCATACACACAAATAAAAAGCTCTTACATAGTGTGCATATGCTCACATAAGCAAAACATATATATTGCTGCTTCAAAATAAAGCTTTTATATCACAAACTAGGAGCGGAATTTTATTGTTTTTATTGAAATGATCTCACACACTACTAATATGATCTCACACACTACTGAAATGATCTCTCACACACACACACACACACACAGACACACTACTGAAATGATCTCACAGACACACTACTGAAATGATCTCACA